GGCGCCTTACTTTTTTGAGACGCAAATGACCTCAGCTGAACACATGTTGAATACAAGCTCTCGGACATTTAAGCCGCTGTCATACATCATACAAAATACGCAGTGTTCGCGCAAGGTATGATTACAATACTACTTGAGGACACGCCTCAAGCATATTCGGAGCATGTTTGTTTCATTCATGCGCATGCTTCGAAAAATTCCGCCTATCTTTTATTTTTTTAACATCGTGGAAGGTTCTGCCACGATGGTAAAAAAAATAAAAGATAGGCGGTCATGGGAGAAACACTGCTAAGGCAGTGTCTGCAAACTGCCTTCTGTAATACATATTTGCAGCGTGAATCCCGCTTAGGTTACGTGGTACATAGTGGAGATAGTACATAGTACAGAGTGCAGATAGTTTATGCTGAATGCAGTAGCATGTTCAATATCGTGATGTCTAATGGCTATTAGTAGCTGTCGTTCCCTCGTTCGTTCTCTACGCTGTTTCTGTGGTAACGGATTACTCCCATACTTCAATCGGCGAAAATATACTAATCCGGGCTCTCCTACATCAGAGCATTATCATTTCGGTCGTCACATGAAATGTATTTTCGAGTACATTTTTTTTTAGAAAGGTATAAGTCTTTCCCAATCGCCGAAGCTAAAATGACGAAAAAAATTCACGAGGTAAGTGTTTTATGTTTACTTGCAGGATTAAGTGAATGGATTTTTAGTGGCCCTCTCTTAAATAAACGCAGCCTATGGTAGCATCCTCAGGAAGAGTTAGTGTTTTTCTCTCTATAATTTTCAAAAAATCTCTTTAGGTTTCTATAGAGTGTACACCGTCACGGCTATGCGGTGGCGCTGCTGCTGGCACTGCGCATGTGCAGACGCTTCACCTTACGCGAATCTGGCTTCAGCACTGGCACGCCCAAAGGCGCACGCTCGTTTGTACACTGCGTGATGGTGTATGATACGCCGTTTGTGGTCCCTTTGGAAAGGCGTCGAGGGGTGTTCGATTGATCGAGTGATCTTATGATTACCATATCTGTACTAGGTCTTCAGTCACTCAGCCTTGACTAGAACATACGTCCTATGTGTACGTTTAAACAGGGGGAACTGATCATCGCAATAGGAGGGCGTCGGGTGTGTTCATCGCAGAAGACAAATTTAGCCAGTTCAGCACGATTGTTAGCTTGGCGTCTTTATCATGCACCACATAGTAGAAGTTTCAGACCACAAAAAGGCACAGCGCTTATCCACAAAAAAAAAAAAAAAAAATGGGCAGGGGTGTGGATTGAATTAATGAACCAAATATGTTGTCACCTTTAGGAAAACTAATACCCCTGTCAGACGTGCTAGTTTAGTGTCACTACAAGCGAGTGCACTTCGCCCTTAGTGTCATCTCTGTAGTGTGCCACACGGCTCCTTCCTGAGGAACACACTTCGCTTGGAGTGAGTTTGACGAACTCACTTCGCTCGATCGAGCGCGTGGAATCAGTAGGAGTGTTTCAACAGTAAAACATAAACAACACAGAAATCAAAAGCGTTGCGTAAGTTTTATTTTATAAATAAAAAAAAATTCGTGAAAAAGACACGTATGTAGAAGAGTGGCATTCCAAAAAAAAGTAGTGGGGTGGACTTGGAGTTCAGGCTTACCTGAATCAAGATTAGCGCAGTGGTGAATTGATAAAAGACGACGACAAAGTCAGTCATTTATGGCTGTCTTGGTTAGCAGAGAATGATAGTCTACTTTTGTTTCAGCATGTAATTATTCGAGACAACGCGATAATTATGATCTGATTAGGAAGTGTCAGGGCCTCCTCGTAGGCTTCCGTGGAACGAAGCGGAACGCCAAAGTTGGATATGCTTCGTCTTTATATTTATTGGCTTGCGATGATCGATCAGAATCATCCAATTGGCGTAAAAATCGTTCATTAATGCAACGTTGTTTTATAGCACAGCTCGTAGGCACCCCTTTCTGAGTTAAGGCCCATACGCACATTCGCGTTTAAGCGCGGTGCGTTCCGTAGCGGCAAGCGGACGCGTTGCGTTGCGAAGACCGCTTGCGCCAAACTTGTACGCACATTTGCGTTGACACGCAGTCAACCGCAGTCAAGAGCCAATAAGAACGCGCTATCGTCGCTAGTGGGTCACCAATAGTAAGCGAAATCCAAGGCAACATGGCGGCGCACGGCGACAGCGTCGAAGTGTTCGATCTTGGGAGAATCTCGCCGGCTTCTCCGACGTTTTGTTAAGCTTGAACCATCGCAGCCTTGGAAAATACAGTCCCCACCGCTCCCCAAAACGAAAAAGCAAGCAGTGCGACCGGCGAACCGGATACGTCTCGCCGAGTTGGCCGGGTGGGGCGAGCGAACACGTCACCTTCTCTCCTCTTTCGGCTTCTGATTGGTCGAACGCACCCGAACGCACCGCAACGCTTCGGAAAGTTGAGCGAGCCTCTACTCGCTTGCGTCGCGCTACCGAGCGTTCCGGGAAGGCGCGCGTCGCTCCGCAAGCGACCGCGCCTGGCCGCAAGTACTCCGCAACGCACTCAAACGCGTTCAAACGCGAATGTGCGTATGGCCCTTTAAGCGGCGTCGGCGTAACTGCGCGTTGCATTAAGGGCTGTTTCCCAAAATGACGTCACACGTGACGTCACGTGTGTCGTCTCGTGTGACGTCACGAGGGTAAAGTTTTCCCGATAAATTTTGCGGTAAAAGTTTTTGCTAAGTTTGGCGGAAAATTTTTCCGCTAAATTTAGAGGAAAAATTTTACCCGTTTGACGTCACATTTAAAATTTCAGATGACGTGTCATGTGACGTCACACGTCAATTCAGCGGGAAAATTTCCCGGCTAAATTTAGCGGGAAATTTAGCAAATTTTTTACGCTAAGTGGGATGGGAATAGGAGAGGAGGATAGGACGGTACGGAGGGGGAGCAGCTGCATACCCTCCCCTTCGTACCCTTCCTCCCTCCTCTCAAGAGGTGCGCTCCAATTCGGCATCACAGAGAATTGTAAAAGTCTAATTTTTTTAACGTGTCTTTATTAAAGGGTATCGGTGGCCGAGTGGGCTAGCGCCCATCAGATCGGAGTACCTGGAGAGAAAGCTCGCGCTGGAGAACCCAGTGATCCTGAGCTCAATCCCCAACCCTGCCCGAAGAACACACTTCCAATGAAGTGAGTTCGGGGAGCACACTACGCTCGTTTCGGTAGACCGAGTGTGTAATCTTGATAGCAGTGTTCAAGGAGTAAAAATAATACAAGAAATTATCGCTGCGCAAAATGAGTATTATTTTTATAGGAGTAATATTAGATGCGCACTTGTTTTTTGTTGGCAGGAAAGTAGTACATTTTAGAAAAACAAGCGGCTAATCTAGTTTCCAGCCTTGGCCCCTGCGCGACGGCCAGCGACGGCCAGGAGGCACCTGCGAGACTCTACCAGGAATCTGAAGATGGCAGGAGAGACGCGAAAGGCTTGCTTGAAATGGAACTCGCCCAAATGGGGCGAAGTGTCTTCGAACCACCGTTCGTTCCTCTGGAAGTCCACCGTTCTCGGCTGATCACGGGTAGGTCGTCGGTCATGAGAGCGGCTATGGTGAAGGCATTGGCCTGCAGCTGCTGATCGATGTCACTTGAAATTCTTGCCTGTGCGTCGGCATCCAGGTCCAGCTGCCTCTCATCTGAAAGGCGTTGGGCTCTCACGGAGAAAAGTAGCCCAATCACGCGCTTTCACTGTCCAACATCGCGGACATCGCCCTCCAGCTCGTCCTCCACACACTCCATGATGTTTCGTTGTGGCGAGTGGCCACCGTGCGAGTGGCCAAGTGGGCTCGCGCACACCAGCTCGGAGCACGCGGTGCGAAAGCTCGCGCTGCAGAACCCTGGAATCCTGGGTTCAATCCCTACTTCTGCTCGTTTCGATCTATACTCCGTTTCACCTTATGTTGTACCGCAGACAAGGCTAGAAGCGCGAGCTCATAGCGTTGGGAGCTACTCTTAACGCACGAGCTTGTGCCGCCGAGATGTGCCCTGAGCAAGGAGCTCGCGCTTGTAGCCTTTCCTGTGGTACATTATGAAGTGAAACAGAGTATAGATGAGCATTGTACCGGCGTGCGGACGTGTATCACTGGCTTGTAATGGCTGATCGTAATGATCAAGCTGGATTTGAATTTGTATTAAAGCTCGTGACTTAGCGCAACAATGTGTGGAAACGTGTTTTTAATGAGACGACGAAATTATTTAAGAACGAATGCATATGCACTGTAATATTTTGCGTGCCCATTACTTACCCATCGCCATTGCCATCATTTTGGAGTGGCACTAAGTTTTTCCGTGTGGCACCAACACACTTGGAGTGTGTTTCGGCGGGTTGAAGTGCACTCGCTTGTAGTGACACTAAACTAGCCCGTCTGACAGGGGTTTAAGCTGTGTGCACTGTTCATGCGCAGCGCAAAGTAGTTTGAAAAAGCTGACTGTTGGAGGAAGACGCGATGCTTTTGGTGTTCAAAACATTTGTAAGATGTGTATCCAATCTAAAAGGCAGCGAGATATGCCTTAATTCTCCAAATAAAAGGGAAATGTAGTGAAACTCCTCCAGAAGCCGGACATCTTTTACTACGGTACCTATGGTGGCAACGAGTATAGAAGACAAGGAATGCGCATGACGTCATATTTAGTGGCTTTCCATCCCGCCCTAAGCATCTAAACAGGCTGAAACTCAACAAACGTCGCCGCAAGGCGTCAGGCGCACTTGTCTGCCTCGCCACGTGCTAGGGTGGCAATCGTTGTGAGACGCTGTTAGTGGCGCTGGCGGTGATGCCCACGCAAGCTAGGTGGCGCTCCGTGGATTCACTAGTGATGACTTCGGGGGAAAAGCGGACGCTTTGTCTCATAGGTGGTATTATATGAACGTAGCATTCCCGGGTTCCACGGCGCAAGCTTGCGCTCTAATTGTGCTCTAAGCTGCAGTTTGTTTCCTCATCCGAGAACCGACCCTCATTGATTGAGGTGTCATAAAATGCTCCAAACGATGTTCTTCTCTTCTTTGCATTATAGGAACAGAGGACTTCGACTCCACACCCGAGGGGGTATTGCACACTGTTCCATCTACCACTGGCCCCAGGAGTTCCCCCAAGTCTCCACGCCAACCACCCAGGCCCACAACAAAGGCGAAACCAATAACAGCCAGGTCATCGACAATAACGCCGACCAAAAGCCACATAACATCAAAAATAGTGGCATCAGCGATAAAATCTTCATTGAGATCAACAACTATAGCAGAGGCAACAACAATGGCAAAGGTCAAATCAACACCGAGTGCTAAATATATAATAACTGCTTCAATGCTGACTACAAAGCCCACTACAAAGGCAACAACACATGCAAAAACTACAACAACCTGGAAAACGTCATCTACAACAATGATTCCAAAGCCGACTACAAAGCCGGGTACCAAGGAAACAATACCGGAAATGGCTACAACAACAACGCCGACTACAGAGGCAAAAACCGAGGCAAATGCTACTATAACACGAAGAACAAGAGCAACATCAACTACAACAACGATTCCAAAGCCGACTACAAAGCCGGGTACCAAGGAAACAATACCGGAAATGGCTACAACAACAACGCCGACTACAGAGGCAAAAACCGAGGCAAATGCTACTATAACACGAAGAACAAGAGCAACATCAACTACAACAACGATTCCAAAGCCGACTACAAAGCCGGGTACCAAGGAAACAATACCGGAAATGGCTACAACAACAACGCCGACTACAGAGGCAAAAACCGAGGCAAATGCTACTATAACACGAAGAACAAGAGCAACATCAACTACAACAACGATTCCAAAGCCGACTACAAAGCCGACTATAACGCCGACTACCAAGGCAACAACAGCGGTAAAAACAACGGCAAATGCTACAACAACAACCAAAACTACGGCACCTCGTAAGTTTCAGCGAAACCCGCAACTCTCCAAAAGATGCTCGTAACTTAGAGCGACATCGGTGTTCTCAAATCACAATACAAGAGTTGGTTATTCCCACATGTGGGAATAACCAACAAAAAATAGCGCAGCATTCGGAACACGTAAAAGTAATTCTTAGCTCTGGACATAGGAGTGTATTTACAGCACGCATATTGTAAATATGGTTTCGTTGAGGCTAGTTCATAAACTCGCGACAGCTGCCGACCGAGTGACTTAAATTTTCTTGTGATTCTTAGAGCAAGACACCATCAATCGGGTAGGAATGGAAGACTTTTAATTCTCGAATACTTCACATTTTTAGTATAATATTCCTTTTTATAGTCTTTAAAACCGCTTTACAATCTTATAATCGAACATCTCTCAAAAAGAGTATGTACATTTGACTTCGCAAACACGGCAAAACCCGTTCTGCTGAAAGGATATTTTATGGTAACTTTTTTACAGATGGCGCAGGGTGCCAGTGTTATCTCGTGGCAAGAGAGCAAAAAAAAAAAAAAAAAACTGTCGTTCGCACAATTGCGCGACTCAGTATTTAAACATCTACTTGCGACGCCTTTGCGATACATACCCCCCCCCCCCCCCCCCCCCCACCCTCGCACACTGTTTGTTTTGAATTAATGGCGTGATACTTTTATGAATGTGTTCTATATGCCAAATTCCATGAAAAACCTGTCATCTTCCAGCGTTGTTTCCTGCGTTAAATTTTAGCGTCATTTCGAACGTTAAACAAATTTTAAGGCCATAAATACAGTTTATAAGACGATAATGGGGTTCAAAAGAACACAAGGACATTCCCGACAGGAATCGAGCCCTCGACCAAGTGATTGTCAGCTGAGCTAAGCGACGGAAGTGCTCAGAGAGCAACCGGTGAAAGTGCAAGTGTGACAAGCAGCAGCGCTTGGCGGAATTTAATAAAAAAATATGCACACCACACACGCCGTGTGTGTTTTACGAATGAGACTGATGTGAACGGGGCCATGGCCTCCAAGATTCGTAGCGCGTATAGCTCTCCTCTGGACCTTCCGAACGCTGGCTTGCAGGCACCACCATTATGGACGACGATGACGAGAATGACAGGATGCTATACCCAGTGACCGCGGCGCTACATTTCAAGCCCTAGATATGAATGCCTTTCTTTGCAGTTGCAGCCGTCAACGTCTCCTGGGCACCCCCCCCCCCCCCCCCCCCCCCCCCCCCCCCCCCCCCCCCCCCCCATTGCAGCCCGCTTCCTTGACCGAAGTGAGCAACCGCACCACCAGACGGACCAGACTTCCGGGGCGTTACCGCCTGAAACGACTATAGTTCGGGGTAAACAAGCGCCTCTTTATCCGGGAAACTGGCGCGCAGCCGCGAGCTCTCCTGACAAATGGAAATGGCCGGAGGAGAGCTTTGCGCGCCAAGAATCTCGGAGGCCATGGCGAGGAAAACAGATTCCACACACTTAGGCTTTAAACAGATTTCGAGCTCTCCTATCTTTCACCGTATAATTGAACTTAGTCAATTCTTTTGTTTTAAGTTCATCATGCCTCTGACTTTTTATAGCGCTTGTGTTCCAGCCCTTATTCCAAATCCGTTCCGAAAATCAAAAGGAACAAAAAACGAGCTTTCGTTCCTTTTTTTTTTTTTGAGGAACTTGTACAACATAGGTCTCAAAGGAAGACGGAGAACATTGTATCGTGAAAACCCCCAGGCTTTTGACGAATGTTCACATGCCTTGCGCGTGGTTCGTATCCACACTGGAGAGAAAGAAACCGTTGGCCGAAGAAACGCTGGGCCGGCCCGGAGCTTCCCCCTCCTCCGCTCGCCAAACTTTTGAGACCGCACCGCAACGAGGGTCCAAAGGACAGAGGCGCGCCCTTGACCAGCGGTGAGAAGGAAACGACCTGGCAAGGAATGTTGTGATGGCGCTCAGCTGCACTCCTGGTCCTGGGCCCACTCGGTCATTTGAAATCGGGCTTCACTTGCACTCGGTTCTAAGAGGTGGCCGGAAATCCTACATGCTTGTATTTGTCGTGTTATTTTTTTTTAGATCACATTGAGTAGGAATTTGGAATAAAAAGTAAGCAGTTTGTTAGCTTGTTTTGCCAGGCTGCACAATGTGGATTAGATAACCTAAGTAGCCCGCGTTAATTGTCCGCATATTTTTTTCTTAATTTTTTGGGGTTCACTACGGTGGACCGAACGCCATTTCATTGAAAAACGTTTTAGAGAATGGGCATGTTTCATCGAAGCTGGGTTTAGAACAGGGTGTCGAACCGGAACCGAACCGGACCGAAAATCGGAACCGAACCGGTATTTTTTCCGGAACTGAACCCGAACCCGAACCGTTATATTGTTATCGCGATGAACCCGAACCGGAACTGAACTGGAAAAAAAAATAACGGTTACCGGCTCATGTCAAAACGGTTCGGCCACGCGCTGTTGACAATGAATGTGCTATCAATGCCATTTGTTTTTAAGTGCCGTCAACTGACACACACCTTGCTTGCATATTTTTCTTCTCCGCTCAGTCTTAGGAATATAAACGCTGCATCCATGAATCTTGACAAACGCTGCATCCATGAATCTTGACATAGGAACCAGTATTGCGGTGGTCGCGGCTTGCACGGAAGAAAAAGAATTGGAAGGCTGTGCAAAAAAAAAAAAAAAAAAGTCGCGTCACGGGATTTTATTTTCCTACAATCTCGTAAATCCTAAATGCTGCTGTGTGCTCATTTCATAACACGTTTCTAGAACGCGCAAGTTTTTGAAGCTTGCTTCCATCGGAATGAGAAAAGAAAAGGCTGTGGAGTTTGATAATAATGCATCCGGTTTCGTATAGGCACTTAGAAGCTAACATATTTGTGAGACAGCGAACTCTTCTATTTTAATATTTATCCTATTTCGTCCTTCTGGCGTTGCGTTCGGTGAAGTGTTTTTCATATTCCGTATCTTGTTTGATGAAAACTTCTTTAAGGGTCTAATTTGAGTTACCGAAGACTAGTTCAAATAAAGAAAGCTGTATTTTCTCCCCACTGTTCCTTCAATTGCTTACACGCCGAGGTGGCGGGATAGTTAGCGAGTGGGTTTGTAAGGAGGTCGCGGATTTTACAGCTACTGCGTCGGACACAATTAGATGAAGTCCGAATGCGTAAACGTCGGTGAGGTAAGCTTTGAGTGCACATAAAGAAACCATTCCTGGTAGAAATCCCTGAGCCTTACACTACGATGTATCCCGTTTCGTATGTGCTCATTTCAGATGTTTCATTTGCAATTTATTTTGATGTTGCAATTTGTCATTTATAATTTCCGAACCCGTTCGCGAACCGGTTCAGCGCCCCGAACCGGTTCGCGAACCGGTTCGCGGATCGAATTAATCGAACCGGAACTGAACCGGAACAAAATAAATTTACCTGAACTTGAACCGTAACCGAACCCGTATTTTTTTCGGTTCGACACACTGGTTTAGAAAAAAGGCAGCCTCAGTTTACAGACACGCCGTTTATCGAAAAGGGGAAGCTGCTTCAAATGAAGTATCCCCTACTTCGAGCGTGCATTACTAGACAGTGCGCAGCGCAACTTCAAGGAAAGAGGTGTGCTGGGCACACGCTGCAGCTCGCTTATACATGACACTCTCAAGTCTACAGCTGCTAGCGACATCGTACAGAAGTGCTTTAAAGTTGTACAAAAAATAAGGCCGAAGGCCGTGCTGTCTCTACTTAAGAAGCTCGATCTGAAAAAGCTTATCAGGTTCGCGTACCGAGGTGGATGACCACCGGGGCCAGGATGCGACCATTGCTGGACCCGAGAGAGTTCTGCGACGAGTTTATCGCAGACAATGATCAACACCGCCTCACTCGAGAAGACTGGCAAACAATAAGACACGTAGTTGCCTACCTGGGGCCGGCCGAGGTACCAACAGTGCAGTCTTCCACAGAGCATGGCTCATGTGTCGGATTGAGAGGTCAAATATTGGCACTGGGCCACGAATCAGCTGTCCGTTGCCATGAAAAGGCGAGAATTGGTTCTTCGGAAGCCAGATATTCTGTGTTGCTCTATACTTGGATCCACGATACCCTGTCCCGCTAACAAGCGAGGAGAGGCCCGGAGCAAAGCAGCATCTGCTCCTCGCGTGGAGGAAGCTTGGCGCGCTTAAAGAAGATGCCCAGCCACAGCAACCTCAAGCACCGCGCACAACGGGTAGTTTCACTTGCCCAGTTGACTACCTCGAAGGGTTCCTCAGGAAAAAAAAAAAAAGAAAGCGGCTGCCTGAAAGTATATAGCGGCCATTATTCGATCTTTGGGGACATTCAGACCTTACTGGACGGCTTTGAAAAGGTGCTCCGAATGAGCTAGAGTACATTGTCTTCTAATTTTGGGAAAAGGAAAATTCCCTGCGCCCCGAATTGCATTCCCTTGCACACGTCTCTCTTGCAATACCGGCCACGCAAGTCATCGTAGAAAGGTCCTTCTCGAGGTTAAAATGCATCCTGTCATACCAACGAACGCAATGCAGCCCGGACATACTAGATGAGGTCCTTTTCCTCCGGTCGTTTCACGCAGGCAAGGCAGGGCGCACATATCAGTAAAATTAATATTGCATGTGCATTTAACAGTTTTTGGGAGGCCCTGGTCCATTCTTGCAAAAGATTTATTAAATACTTTCTATGGTGAATCAAATGTTGGTACGCACTCCCATGTCAGGTCTTGAGTTTTTAAAGATCATTCCATAGACACATGAAGAACCTAAAATCAATAAATTAGAGCTTATTTTATACCAGTAGAGTAGACTGTTGAGCTAGTTAGTTTTGGAACTCGGAATACAATTTAGCGCTCAAAAACAAGTACAAAACGACGAGAAACAGACACCACAGTGCGCTACTAACAACTGATTTTATTACATGAAACGTCACTTATATAACATCCGAGTTT